TACAAAATGAACAAATCTGAGAGAGGTCCACATGTAGTACCTATATATGTAATATCAAAGCAATTGCACTTGCGGTTTTTAACAAGAAGTCGAAAATATCACTTTTTATCAAAAATGACAAAAATATTCACCAAAATTAGAGAATTGAAGATATCAACATGAAATGAACAAACCTAAGAGAGGTCTACCCAAGGTACATATACACCAAGTATCAAAGCATTCAGGCTTGTAGTTTTCAAGAAGAAGTCGAAAAAGTAAAACATTGACACGGACGACGACGACGGACGACACCGGACGACGACGGACAATCACTCATATGATAAGCTCTGCTCGACAAAGTCGACAGCGGAGCTAATAAAAAGATATGTTGATTTCTATACCTGGATAGACACTTACCTTTATCAATGTCCTCACAAGCAAAGGCATCAATGAAACCAATATGGTGATCAAAGTCCATTTATAATTTGCACTTCCTAGTTTGGCGATTTGCGACCTGTAATGTGACTGGCTGTCCTTCAAATGTGCTTGGTAAACTGCCATCACCGTGCTTGTAATATGGCAAGCAACGCCAAGTACAACATCATAGTTACTCTTGCCATGAATTAATCTATTATACAATTGAGAAAAGGAAAGATAAATAATAAATGTATGCTTCATCATATACATATATATTGCTCAGTCTGGATTATTATGTATTGACCCAACTTACCCTGATTTAGAGAAGACCCAGCGCTGATTGACATCATCAATTCTTTTCTTACACAGGACAACTTCAGAGCATTCTATCAATTCTCCATCTTCTGAGCCCAGTACTAAGTCTGGTCTGCTTTCCACTGCAATAAAACCATCCTGGTATACAAATCTCTGCAAACTTACTCGCTTGCTAGGTGACTTAGGTCGGGCTCTAAAAAGGAAAAAATAAAAAGCGGAATATTAAAGGTGTAAACTCTACTACTTGTGTCAATTTCTAAAGTTGCTGTTATAAACTGTATCCATAGTTACTAGCTTTTAACTGAAAAAACAAAAGATGTCCGGAATTGGAGAGGACAGAAGAAAAGACAGGAAAGACATCGTGCTTCATATCTGTCGAGGCTATCATTGTATATGTGTGAACAGAAATGACAAATATGCCATGAAGAGAAATGGACAGAGATCTACAGAAATTGTTTGGGACTTACTGAAACTTTTTATAAAGTTCTGGGTTTGTAAACTGTGCCCCATCAGCATCATTTGCATCTTTGACTTCATCAATACCGGCATTCATTGAGTTTCTCTCCCAAGGCAATTTCTTATTCTCATAGCGTTCCTCAGATTTCACATGTGCTCTAGCATGTGCACTGATTTACATAAAATAAAAGTGGTATTTTCAGTAACAGTATGTATATGTGTGCATGTGTGTTAATAAATATCTTATAGTAGGCTGATAAAGCATTAGATGTTATTTTATATGGCAATCTTACCCATGTTTTTGTTTCTAAGACAAATGCTACCCATGTTGTTTCTATAACAATGATATCTATGTTGTTTCTATGACAATGATATCTATGTTGTTTCTATGACAATGATATCTACTGTTTTATTTATGACCCAATTCATTTATGTGTCACTACTATTATAACACTAAGTGTAGCATGATTTTAGGCAAAACACCTTGATACAAATATAAGGCTCGGAATAAAATAGACAAATGTTTTACTAGGTACTTCTACTTTTTTTGGGAGAAGGGCAGTTTAACTACATGTACAAGCATATGTGCTTTAGTTGATTATTTCCTTTTAATTGTTTTAAAATGTTGACAAAATATTTGTTTTCTATCCTATTCTAACTGTGTGTTATTTATTATACCTCGGAAGCTTGCTGAGAATGCTGCACACATACATTGTCATATCCAACAGGAAATCTAATTCAATGCATGCCTGAACAATCCCTGGTCACAGCCAACACTGATATTAACAGCCTTATTGTGTTATTTAAGGTGAGAAGCATAGTTTGTTATTTATTTTTCACCATTTGGCAACATTTAAATGAATTTGAAATGACTTTAGCTGATAAAATGTTAGTATGACAATTATAAAAATATTAACTAACTACCAGCAAAACTTTCCTATTATGGGAGTTTATGATTAGTGGCACACTAATAAGAATTTTATAGCATTAACAGACCATTTCCTGATCACTGCAAGATCCTATGATATACTTAAAATGAGGACAAACAGAGCTCATAGCATCATAGTGTATTCAACATCACAAAGTATTTTGAGAGTATTTCTAAGCTTCATAATGTGCTATACACATTTGATGATATCCAAATTTAATAAAGTAGGAGTAACTCAACTCCATACTCTCCTCTGAAAAATTGCCATTTTCAACATTGAACTATAAAAAAAAATGAAATTTAAATTCCATATCAAATCATTTGTGGCAGACATTTGGTCCGCGACATAATAACAGGATCTCACAATGAATGGAAAATCACATATTTATCAATGTTTTATTCATTTATATTGTGAATACACAATAGTTAGTAAAATAGAGAATGAATTCAAACCAAATCACACCTTGCGAGAGACACATGTGTAGAATATTGATCTGTTTCACTACAAAACACAAGATACAAATGAGATAGTTAATCACAAACAAACAAACAAACAAGAAACAATAACAACAAATCATGCTGGTTCATTAATGGTGCAAACATCAAACACAAACAAGGTACAGGGAGTACACATTGATGGGTGGTGGGTGCAACACTGCAAATGGAAATTCACACACATTAAAAATTAATGAAAATTAATTAAACAGGAAACAGCTATGCATATAATCAGAATACTGAAAATATTAACATCATCCATACAAGTCACATACAGTATTGTCAATGTGTGTACATAAAGCTGTAACCACAGAAACTAACAGTGTCTATAAAATAATGTTAGGCTTCTGCCAATAAACTGGAAAAACTGCTTTAGCTCGTTACCGGTACATTATTTATTTATCACTGACAATTAATTACAATATTTGGATGACAGTTAGATATGAGTGTAATCACCAGGATGACCTGTGTCAGACACATCTGATAAGAATGAGACAGTCGGCAAAGCCCCCAACAAACAAGTGATCTGAGATGGTCCACAAAACTAGAGCTTCACTGAACTTGACTGGCAAAAACACAGGGAGGTCCAGACAGTTCCCCTGGGGAAACTGATATTTCCGGGACGTCAAACTGAAAGCATTGAAAGGTTCTGGTGTGTAGTGTTGCATGTGGGATCAGAGCTCTCACAGACAACATTATGTACCACAATGCTCATAATCTTTCACAGAGTGATAAATGTTGTGTAGTCAGATGATAAGCGCAGTGCCTGATTCTGTCATAGTGTTTGTCCAAGGGGTGTATTGAACATGTTTATTTCCATCCCTAGGTAATTTAAGTGTTGTGGTATCTCTAGCTGATTGTTGATTAAAAACTCCAGTGACCACAGGAGACTCAGTGTGTGCTGAAGTTGTGCTATCAAACATGAATCGGCATGGAGACTGTAATGGTGGGTTCACAAGGTGTACCTAATTCCTGTCGAGATCTCACAGTAAATACAAAATCATATATAATGCCGTCATCCTACCTTAGTCCGCCAAGTGGATCTTCAGGTGGTTCATCTTGTTGAGACGGTTCTTCTTCAGACTCCTTCTCCATAGCTTTTCTCTCATCCTTTGTCATACAACACATATTAACTATGACTCTGGACCCAGACTGAATAGGACCATCTACTTCCATCACAAGATCTAAAGTCAAATGATTGTTATTGTTTATTAGCTCCTTTTATTTGAATAAGTATATACATTGTATTTAATTTTCACTGCAGGAATTTTTGCAATTTAATACTTTTATAGGATTCATAAAGACATAATGACAGTTGGTGGCATAACACCCCCAGAGAAATTGTCACTACAACATTTTTTACTCATTAAATTCACAAAAATTTGTCTCTTGTGAAATTTAGAGCAGCTGATGAACATAATATTGATCTTAGAAGACGAAAAACAATACAAATGTACACTATAATAACAAGAACAACCTAAACACTACATTCTGCACACAATCTCCACACAAGATACAGAAATGATGACTATTGACACTATTGTGTTATCATATCAATATTGGGTTCTGGACCTGTAGTAGAGTGATACATCAATAGAATATTCATTATTATTAAATTCCAGTCACAAGATATACACAATTAACGGTAATTGTGCTATAAACGCTTGTGCTATAAACTGCATAAGTGACCAATGAGAGAGTTCATAGTTATATTTATACAAACTTACTAGTAGGATTTCTAATAGTGCAATATTGTGTCATTTGTTGTACATCTGCAGTCAGGTTAGCCAATAGGAAACGCCTCTGCTGTTCAGACTTGGATAGTTTAGGATCAGTCCAGATTTCACCACATGATACATAGACTAACTGATCTCGCTGTAACTCATGCAAAGTGTGTTGTTCATTTCCTTCAAGATCAAAGATTCTCCTGGCAGCAAATGGAAGATTAAGCAAACTGGTGCATCTATCAAGGAACTGTAACAAGAAAATAAGCATAGAATGAGAGGCTGGATAGTTATCATTAAGTATGTCACATAGAGAGGACATATGCAAAAAATTTTTCAGTTGCTGTCATTACACTGAAAAATTTCTAAACTTACCAATTGTATTTCAAGTTTCTGTAAATCTAGGTTTTTTTCACTTTCTTTTGTTTCTATTGTATTTTCATCTACATCACTGTTTGTCTTCTTTTTTTCTAGAGGGCGCTTTCCATTCATAGCAGTTCGATTCAGGTCTTTCATCATCTATAAATAAAAATACCAGTACATGTTTGATATAATCTAATTATAATAAGACAGTCAGATACCCATACAGTATGTATTACAATAACTACTCATTTGTTTTGTTGTAGCTTCTCTTAATGACTGCATTACTAAAGCTCAATCCGTATGAAATAAAGTACTATTTCAGCTGAAATATTGATGTGTTTTGTGTGTTCTGAAAAGCTTTGATGAGTTACTTTACTAACACTGCATAACATGTGTAGGTTTTATTTTCAACAATTTACATAGGTCTGTCCATAAAGATACATTCACTGTAATAACAGCAAAACAAACTGATATTGACATGTGCATCCCATAGTGGGATGTTTCTAATACAGAAAAATAATGGTAAACACAATGTTGGGTGACATTCTGATGAATGAACAAGTAGATGACATACGTTTTTCTGTTTTCATTGCTAAGATGATAAATCAATATTGTATTTTTATCCATAACTCTACAGCCCATGTAACCATGGCATTAGATAAAACAATAATTCACAACTTACATTTGTCAAATCTGGTCCAACCACAAGTGCGGCTCTCTTAAAATCCCGTTCTCCATTTTTCAGAACACGGAGACGAATCGGTAAAACTGTGGAAAAAGCAGGCCAAGCATCATCACCCCCACTGTTTCTCAGGCATTCTATCTCTGAGAGCCAAGCCCACGTCTATTGAAAGGTCAAAGGTCAAGTTCTGTTTTTTCTCATGCCAGATGCCATCTTTTTGATGCAATATTTGGTTGACCAGCAAATTATGTTATATTTTATATTAATAAGACTAGTTGCATATCACGGGAGATCTCCACTCAGATATCATACAATGGACATGAAATGAACCAGGTAAAAAATATCTTTTTTTCTGAAATTAATTACATAACTATTAGAAATATTTAATTTAAATTAATTTTGTCTAATTACTGATGGAAATTCACATAAATAATTAATATTCTCTATGGAAAAAAAAATTTCAACTTGATGTTTATGTTTACATATATTATTTACATGTTTGAAAAAAAATATATAAAAAATAGCTGTAATTGTAATTGTAACAATATTCTCATCTAAGAAACTATTTATATAAATCCCCACACGATGTTATTCACCTGCACAATGATTTATTTACTAAATTATTTATTTAGAAAACTACCGTAGTGAAAATATATCTCCTGTTGTGTGCTTAAATGGACCCACTTCTGTGAAATTATGACCTATGTAATTGACAAATTTTCCTGTTTGTCTATTGCTATGGTGACTGATTAAAAAATGAAATAGTATAGCAAAGCAAATACGGCAGACCATTACTACTATAGAAACATACAGCAGTGTAAATAGTATATAATATTACATATTCATTTTTGAATATGTGTGTCTATCTTGGATGTTTTTTTTTTCAAAATTAAAGCTTGATAAATTATTTGATATTTAGTGCGGAATAAAATGTAATACAAATGAATACTGATGATGAATAATACTGTGAAATATTATAGAAAAACATAGACGTTTTAATGGTGTATCGCAAAATATTGGCATACATTGGTACTGCTGAATAAATCCTATTTGCTGACACTAATCTCGATTAAAATCATTGGGCTATGCCAAAAAAATAAATTGTTTTGCAGATTTATGGCTTGTAAAATTTTTAAATGTAAATTTAAATTTTTGGGTTCAAGAGATCACATGCTGCTAAGTGACTACTGATCTGGAAGATCTCAGCTTATACAGACAAATTTCAAATTTCAACAGTCATAGCTGCTAATTTCTGTACATGCTTATAAAACCAGCATAATTTGACTCGAACAACTTCACATGTAAATGTCAAGTAGTAAAAATTACCCATAATGCAGAGAATGAATAAAGTTGCTATCAGTCACTGTTAAAAGAACACCAATGAAATGTTCACTGCTACAAAGTGATTTCTTAACTTGCAAAATTGGTTTAAGACAAAATTGGTTTGAAGTATTCAAATAATTTATACAAAAACATATGTGACATAGTCCAATACAACAATAAACAACATTTTTTAAATTATGTAAATTTGCTTTAAACATATGATATAACCCCCAAATTTATTCATGTGAAATTATTTGAATATTTAATCTATTCAAGTACATTTGTAGTCTTTTACTAATGTATACCAGGATCTAATTAACTGTTTCCCCAAATTAATGGCTGTGAAATATTCTATTAACAAATACTGTGTGATTACATGGCTGTAAATGATATCTATATAATAAGATAATTATGCATTATTAAAAGCTATAATTTTGAATTCTGAATTTAAGTTTTGTCTCAAGTTTTATTGTTAATAATAACGAGGACTTCTGCTAGAGAAACGTGTTCGTAACATTGCTTGACCTGTTTGCAGAGAAACCACCAATTAACATGCAACTAAAAACCCAGGCCATTATTATCAACCTTATGCCAAATAGTGTTCCAAAGTTATGGGTGCATCAGAATTAAACGACAGAAATATAAGATGGAAACAATTCTTATTCATTAATCAAAACAATGTACATTTAGTACAACAGTAAAAGAAGGAAGCCAATGAGACAGATGTGGGTGTGTTCTACAATTTAGAACAATTGAATGTGACATTAATCAATGTTAAATAACTAAACAAATAACTCCATCTCAATAAATGAAAATGTCACCAAGTTTACTTGTAAGGTTTCCAATATTTGGCAGGGTTGGTGGAATTAAAAATTAAAAGAACACAGCACATGTAACACCACACACTAGAATTAAACATCACCCAAAATTAATTTTGCTTTCATCATAAGAACACATGCAACTTTGCAACAACACCCAAGGCAAGCAGACAAATAAAAACCAATTTGTAAAAGTGTGCAAAAAAATCATTGTAGCAAGTTGATTGTTAAGCTATTGTTCAAACCAGTTTTATTTCAACCAAAGCTAAGCAAGTTTAGGGTGAGGTGCTTTAGAAAGTAAAAATGCGTGTTTTTGAAATTAGTATTCATAGTTAGCACTGTTATATGGTTATATGGTTAAATATGAGAAATGAATAATATTATGAACAGTTTCATTTAAATTAGTATCTCATCAATGTGTTTCCAGCAACTGGAAATTACGGGAATATTAAGGTATCTGGCTTTAAGACTTCATATTGACAAGATTTGTTAATCAAATTTTAAATCTGATAATTTTAACTCATTTGTTTAGTTTATGTGTTAATATGGTAGCAAACTAACGTTAGTAATGCTCTGAGAATGAAATGAAACATGGCGTTATCAAGTTTATGTTATACAAATTAGGTGATTACTGGTCTGCCATGGAAAATAAACTACTCTGTGGGAACAGTGTTAGTCATTTTAACTAAACTTTTAATTCAGAAATGAGAAAACAGCTTACATGTACTATACACATATTACATTACATATTATAATATTGGCTGGGAAGGTTGGGTCTCCGTAAGTTTGCAAAAATAGAAAGAAAGCTGAGGATATTGTTTCTACAATCCTATATGCGCACAAAGGGTGAATCTTACTTAAAGAGTGAAACCC